ATAATTATAATTATTATTTATTACCAATCCCTCTTCTTCGAATTTAATTTGAAATTATTTTAATTTTATTAGCCCCAAAATATAAGAATATTGCATGTATCAAGTTATTCTAATTACGATGGTCGTTTAAATTATTAAAAGTGTAATGATGCTTCAGGTAATCCCGAAGAAAGACTTGATTTAACTGTCGCTAAGTTGTTATCGAACGAGATAAGTTTAAGTTAAATTACGAATCCTGTGAGATACCCTGCTTTGGGTCATATAGGTCGGGACCCTACAATTCGTTCCATGTAGGTTATTTTAGTCAAGATTGTATAAGGCATCTTATAGATTCGCAGGACTTTACAAATCACCTCAATCTACCTCTTATAGGTTAACTTGTTCAGGTTTACACGATACCCTATGTAACAAGACCTTCTAGGGTGGCCCGATCCGAATCTGAGGCGTTACATACTTGATCCAGTCCTGATCAAATTTTCCTTTTTGAGCCCTAACAGGGCAGCTAGATTGCCCAATCCGATTCGGATCACAACCCTACTCGTTTTCTGCTCGGGATGGGAGGACAGGTTCCCACTTCAGCCGTCCTTGGCAACTCCCGTTATGTAAGGGAGTAGCAAGAAAAGGATTAGGCCACGCATCCCATTTTGTGGGGCATTTCAAATTTTGACTAATTTTGCGTTACGTATATATGGACGACCCTATAAGTGAGGGTAATATACGACAAGAAATTGTATAGGAATCTATCTGTTTGATGCACAAGTGAAAATATTTGTTTCTGACCTTTGCATACCTGTGCAGAAAGGGTTGAAGGACATAAATGAGCTGTTGATCCATCGGTTGCTATCATTCGTTTATCAATAGCTATGTTCTGGTTTGCAACCTTTCTTTTCAGTGGCACTGGAGGGTGATATTCAAGGCAGTGGTTTTCATATGTGTTTGATACAGTCATTGTATTAAATGGGCTTTAAAAATGGAATTTGCTACGTTTTCACACAAAAATTCAAAACTGCAATACTGTGGACGACTTTTTTGAAATTCCATGATAGGAATGAAGTGAATATACAAAAACTATGACATTTTGACTAACAATTTTTCAATTTCAGGGTTATTAAAACCAGCTTATGTCATAATATAATAAAAGTCAAATACTTAATTAAATTTAAGATCCCACACAGCTAGTAAAATCAATTAGGTAATTAAAAACATTGGACACTTTATTTAAAACATACATTACAATAAAAATGTAATTAGGTCTTTAAGGGTGAAGAAACAAATTCCACCGGACAAAAATTGTTCATTTCTTGTTATTTATTTATCGTATAATTTAAAATATTACATAACAAAAAATATCATAGGATAGGTCTTTTGTACTATAGAGTTTTTAGATGTTGGTCTTTAAAGGGACAGCTTCGAAAATGGTAAATGAATAACATCTTTTCCTCAGTTTCTACGTAGTATACGTCACTCAAACATTTGCGGTTTTTATTTACCCCAGCCCCAGCCTCCATGACCTCCATGACCTCCATACACTTTGACAACTCGTACCACATGATGATGGCCTAAAATACGAGCAATAATAATTACTTACACGATTGCCAATCGCATTACTTTTAAATATAGCGTTAACAAATAAAGCATGAGGTAGCAAAATTTGCTGTTTCCTTTGTTTTGCCTTTTACTGACGACACGACTTGAGACAGATCAATGTTCAAGTATTCCCGACAGAAACACATTTTTTTATTTTGTTTATTATCGTTCCAGTAGGTCTACTGTTGGCCTTGATAATGTACATTGAGCATTACTTTTATAGATTCACGCTCAAATTGGAAATGCGGTAATTATGGTTGATAAACCACATTTCCTCTACAAGTGACTACTGAAAACAAGGATGTAGCGTCTTTTAGCATTAAAGAGTAACGAAAATTATTTTTCAACCTTCACGGACATTCTCTTGCGAAATTGTAAAACATTTACAGTATCTGCCTAAATACCCCATAAACTCTATATAAGCTAAACATTAAAATATCAGCAAAACTTTAAAACTGATAACAAATAATTGATATAACAAAAGAAATCGTAAAATTACCTCCTCCGTAACCGTAACCTCCTCCGTATCCATGACCTCCACCATATCCAAAGCCACCTCCATGCCCAAAACCTCCTCCGTGTCACTCAGTGGCGTGTAAATTACTATTTCCTGAAGCTCCATAAGTCAACGTATTATACGTAAAATAAGAAAAGGATGTGTTATTGTTATTGTAAATGTACTACTATCATACTAGTTCTTGTAACAGCAATTAAGAAATAATAAACCAAAGTATTAATTTATAAGAAATTGAAAGGCAACTACTAATACCATTATTACAGCCTTGAAACAGCCTAAAACAATAGGCGAAACGTCAGATCTGATTTTCTGAAAAAAATAATAAACTATTTATCCCTTATCGTTGGCACTGAATTAACATTTGAAGAAAAAATTAGGGGAAAAAATGGATATGACAAAATTTTTATTTATTAATTTATTTGATGTATGCTCCGGTTAACGAACCGCTACTAATTTTTACACCCCTTGGCCTTCTGCTCCCCGCAACCCTCTAACACGATTTTATTTATTACTGTCTATTATTTGATGATCTTACTATAGGACTTTCACTGATACGGAGCTTGATACACCTACATGTCTGTACCTAATAACAATTAAATGACAAGTGTTAAAATTTATATATCTATGAAAGTTAAGAAGATTGAAATAGTTTTCTATTGATTTCAGAACCTGTTACTGTATTATTGCTTCTTTACAATCCGAGATAAATTAACTTAACATTTGAAACAATGTTTCTATAATTTTTAAATTCAAATTTTTTGCTGTACAAGGTTTTAATTTGAGTGACATTTTTATATAAGTTTATTTTATAACTATAACGTTGTTGAATAAACAGTTTATATCC